AGAAAGAAACATGACACATAATGGAAATTTATGCATCATTTAAATGAATGTACCACTTTGATCCATCTGACATTAAGCCATGTCGCTAGCAACCGTAAAGCCACACGATGTCGAGCATCATAACCCTTCCTTCTTCGAGTAGTTTTCTTACCGTCTTCAGGTACTTGTGCGAGACAAGCTGAAAGAAGCTCATAGAGAATGGTCACCTTCCTAGTGTACCCAAGCATTGATACCTCTTCCACAGGTTTTTCATCAGATCCACTAACAGACTTCAAATGAGCCCCCACAATGCTAGATGGTTTTTGGCTTTTCTCTGGGTAATTTTCAACCTTCGTATTTTCCGTATCAGACTTGGACTTCACATCAGCAATTGATAGCTTCTCCTCACATTCATGCTTATATTCACGCCTCTTCTCCTCCTTAGACTCATTATCAGAAGTTCTCTCCATGCTTGATGCCATAGCATCTACGCCATTTGCCAAAGCAAGTTCCATGTCTGCTGCTTCTGAAGAACCATCATCACTTTCTTCAGACAGTAACCTTAGAAACTGATGTAGTATCAGTAATCATGCCGTCAGGCAAGTAATGACAAAGATATTTACTTAAGACTGCCTAATGATATCGACTAATGTATTAAAAATCAAAGGAGAAACCTTTCCATTTTAATTAAAGCATTTAGCAGCAGAGGCAACAGATCTCTCCTCCCGAAGTACAGTAGACCTTAGTTTAATGCAATTATCTGATAAACTCAGGAACTAGTCATGGACATAAACTGATAAACATACCTACCTTACTATTCTACAACTTTAAAGAGACAAGAAAACTAACCGCTCCAACATGATGCTTTGGTGGTGTAGAGGCAGCAGTTTCCTCTAGTCCAGACCATGCCTTGTCATCAATCTCTAAAAATCTACTCACAACAAATCCAAAACGGAACCCAAATTAATAATCTACAAATTGACCAATACGCACTAGCATTAGTTGTTGAATGCTGGTTGAACGGATCAAATGTGTCATGTTCAAAGTATGCCCAAGTCATACACCTTTTGCTTTTCCATTAGTTAGTAAGTAGTAAATACTCCTTCAACCCCGATTCATATGATGCTTTTTCCATTTTAAGACGTCCCAAAATTTTGACACCATTCAACAAATAAACGTAATTTTGCTATTCAAATTTAAAACTTAAATGTGATATCTTCTCTATCAATCTAACGTTTACCACTTCCACTAGTAACATAATACATAAGTCAAACTAACCTCTAAACTCTTTCTCCAGTCAAAAAACCGTAATATAATATCAAAAAAACCCTGCAATAACAGCTGAAATAGACAGGAATTTGCACTCAAGGGTGTAGTCTAATGGCCAATGAAGTGGGATGAGAACCATGAGGCTCACGATCAAATCCCACCAGATTAAAAAAACAAAAAACTAGGTGATTTCTTCCCATTTGTCATAGCCTTGAAGGATAGAGTTACTACCAGTTATTGCTAGTGGAAGGTGGAACTAATTGTGTTGCGTGTAAGCCGGCCGGCACACCATACTACCATAGTTATGATAAAGAGTAAAGAGTCAAAAACAATCCCTATTTTTTGAGTTTTCTATCTGAATTATCATGTATTCACTTTTTCTAGCTCACCCATCATCAACTATTTATTTCAGCTTAGAAAAGGAAACAACTACTAGTTTAAGTGTATTTCAATAAACATTTGACCATAGTTTTACATAGAAAACTCACACACTTGACAATTCAGTCATAAAAATCAAAAACCGAATACTTTATGTGTATTTTTTACCTTCCCTTAACAAAAATAAAAGACAGAAATATGCGGACCTAAGAATTAACAAAGAGAAACTAATACCGAATTTCAACATTTTATAATCCAATAAATCAAATTAAAATTGAGCAAGTAGAAGGAATTAACTTGAATATAGGTCTTAGAAGAGCAGAGGATTCATGAACCCAGAGTTGAGGATCATCGGAAACGGAATCTGCACTACTGCCACTGCTACTCCGTTCCTCCGGCGGTGTATCGGGAAAGCCCAATGGACAAGTTTGATGGATCTGAGCCTGGTGAAGAGCAAGCCCAAACAAAGCTCCGGCTGCATACCGGTGCGTCGGTGGCAACATCAAAGACGACGACATTGATCACTGAATTTGACCGGATTTTATCGATTTGATTAATTGTTCAGTTTTTTTCAAGTTTTATGAATTTGTTGATTTCGCCATTTTTGTTTTCAAGTTTTATGAAGTTATGATTTCGCCTTTTTTTTTTTTTCTTATTAAGCGGTCGAACTGTATATTTGTTGAAGATTTCGATGAACCGACGAAGTCTTTTAACGTAAACGATGTATGTTAGTGACTATATATATTTGACATAATATTCAAAGAGAAAATGAAAAAATATCATTTTTTCAAAGTATTAGTTGAGTAATTTTGATCATTTAAGTTTATTAAAGCATAATAACAATAATAATATATTTAATGTAATTTTAATAGGCAAAATAGAAAGATTATTTCTAGTAAATTCAGTTCGACTTAAGAAAATCAATTCAAAGTAAATTGAATTTGAAAACGCACCACCCTTCTTTACTTTACAACCAGCCTCCGACCCAAGGTGCTTTTAGAAAAGGTCAGCGGGGCAATCAAAAAGACTTGCTTTTGACGCCCTATTGTGCCGACCAACAACGGGATGCTACTTACGAGCTGGTTAGGAACAGGTTTCGGTCACTCTTTCGATGCTATGATGGGAAGTATGACAAAACAATATGAAAAAAATAAGTAGTAACCATAATAAAATACTATAATAATTGAAAAAGAAATAACAAAAACCAAAGGATAATAAAATGCATGTTGCGGTGATAAAAGATGTTGAATAGATGTGTGGGCATATTAGAAATGAGGTTATTCGGGAGAATGTGAGAATGACCTTAATGGCAAACAAAATAAGGAAAGTGATATTAGAATGGTTAGGGAATGTGAAGAGAAAATGCGTTGGCAGTCTAATAAAGAAGTGCAAGAGACAGGGTGTTGGGTGTACGCGAAGGGGTAGAGATAAATCAAAAAAATATATTTGGGGAGGTGATTAGACAGGACATAACATAACTTCATATTACCAAGGACGAGACTCTGGATAAGAAGGAGTGGAGGACGCGTATTAGAATAGAAGGTTAGTAGAGGTAGAAAGTTGTTTTGCCTTGTGAAGATTTAGGCTTGTTAATGCATGTCATAGTATTAACCATACCCTTGGGTCGTTTGGTTTGAATACAAGTTATGTTGGGATAAGTTATGCCGGGATAAGTTATGCTGAGATTAGTTATATTGAGATTAGTTATCGTGACATTATTTTTTATTGATTGTTTGGTTTGTTGTACAAAAAATAATAAACCATTGCATACTTTCTAAAAATAAGTGGTTGCTTACAAAAATATCCTCTTATTTAACTTTCTGTGTACATATTTTTTTGGTAGAGTTTTAGTTATTCATTCTTAAAAACAAACCTCTACCTTATTTAGCTTAATTATTTTTATGTATGAATTTTCTTTGTGATCAATTATGTGTCAGTTATACTCCACGCTAAAGAAAACATATGGTTTGATCAGAGAACTCTTTTACTAATCACATTTACTTTAAAAATATGTATAAAAAATGAAGCAACTTAGGGCTCAAAATTTAATTAGTAGCGAATAATAAAAATGTAGCAGATTTTGGCCTAACCAGTACAGCAGTAGTTTTCATCTATACACAGCAGTAAATTGGCTTAAAATGCAGCTACAGATTTACTCAAAACACATAAAAAGTGCAGAAATTGATTAGCCTCGAATTTTCTCCAACACAACAATTATTTTTCTTCAACATATAAGACCCCAACATGTACTTGCTCTTAAATCTGCCGAAGTTATCGTAGATAATTGATGATGATAGGTGTAAACTGCACATCCATGGAAATTCCTTCTGTTAATTAGTGGACATTACTAGAATTAGCAGCTTGACATTGCCAAACGTGAACCTTGATCAGCTGCCAGTAAGTGGGAGTTTGAAGGATAGTTTTGTTATTTAATTAGTTTATCCCATGACAAATTATGATGGGATTATTATACCACCCTTTGGGAGGGATAACTTATCCCGGTACTATATATTAATCCCGGGATAAGTTATCCCAAGCTTTCCAACCAAACACTAAATTAAGTGTCACTAAATATTTATCCCAGGACTATTTGTGTTTATACTTCACACCAAACGATATAGTTCTGACTTTCGATTATTACACTTTTGTTTTTGTTATTTTTCTTTCTTGTAAACTTTATATTTGCTTTTTTCTGATTAATTGTTATGCTTTCTATATTGTTTTCTCATTCTTTTACTTGAATTTGATGCATTTGAGTTGAGGATCTTCTAGAAACAACTCTTCTATATCTACGATAGTGGTAGATCTGCATACACTCTATCCTCCTTAATCCCCACCTAGTAAAATTTCACTAAATATATTATCGTTCTGAAGAAAAAACTATCTGCCAAATGCCAAAAATAACAACACAAGAAATGAATATAAAATAACTAAATTGCACCTCAAAATGTTTCATCGGTTACTTCAAATAGACCAAAAATCACATAAACTATAAATTTTGTACTTCCAGATGTGAGTTTCCATTAAATATATATTTGACAAAAATACTCACTTTAGATTAGATAAATATAAAAGACCAAAAGTGATTTCAGGAACTATTTTGAACCTACAATATAATATCTTGTAAAAAGGTGTGAATACAATAGCATTTATGTGACATATTTTTTAACAGTATTGTTGCATAGTCATACATGATGACTTATTTGTTTCAATTGTATTTCTTCTCCCAGAGATTTGTCTTCTGGGACAGAATTAACCTGTTGCAATGTATACCAAGTTACCAACTCTTCTGCACTTAATTTCTACAGAAGTTCACACAACACTTTTAAATGCATGAGAACAAATTCCCAACTGCAGTTTGGAACATGTAGATATTTGCTGGATCAGCGTTACCTTGTGGCAATGTATACTATTTTTTTTGCACCTCATTTCTACAAAGTTCACATAATGATTCTGGGGGAGGAGAGGGGAGGGATCTCAGTCATATGTTTAATTGTGGAAAAGAGAAGGATTGAATCAAATTTTACGTAATTGACACCTTACGTGGTATAGATAGTCAAACAACACCCCTTTCTTGCAAACTAGAACTCAAAGTTAACGAACTTCTTGTCCTTGGGGAGGAAGCTGAGTCTGACCTACCAAACAAAATCCCAGTCCCTTGAAGAGCCCAGTCTTGCGCCAACAAAAACTCTCCCCTGTGAACTTCCTCCACACTATCCCATACTTGATTCCCAGCAAACGGAGACAATTCAAGTATGGATTTACCCATGCAGTATCCTTGGTAGTATCCCAACAAACATTTGCAAATCCCTGAACTGAACAGCCCCAAAACATGTTTCCCTGAGATGTCCCACGGCCAGTGCTCATAACTTCCTATTCAGTACTCCTATCAACTGCTGAGAAATTCAATGTTTTGACTTATACAAGGTGCAGCAATATTGAAAAAAGCTTCCCTTTGGAAAAGGAAACATCAGCGGACTTGGTTTCTCCCTCTGTACTTGTTGGATGAATTTTGAATCAGACCCTTTTTTAAAGGGTCAAAAGCATCTGCTTGAGATGCCCCAACTAGCTTGTTTGTCACAGGTGATTGACAGATTAGCGTGCTTAGTTTCTCCCTCGCTGCTCATTAGATGAATTCCCATCAGACCTCTTCAAAGGGTCAAATACATCAGCTTGAGATGGCCCAACTAACTCATCTGTCACAGGTGATTGACAAGGCAACTTTATATCTCCATTTGAGCTCAAGCCATCACTTTTTGCAGGATCATGCGTAGGACTCAGGTCCTCAAACAAAGCTAAAATAAAGTTTTTGTAACCTGGTATCATCTGCTCACTAAACCTCATTGCTGAAGTAGGTGAACCCATACCACTTTGAGTTTGAGATTCCATTGCATCAACTTCAGCCAATAGATCTGACACCGACTCTTCAGCCAAAGTGCTGAACTCAATAGGCTCATTAACAGTTGCCTGCCAACTGGATAAGTTTGACATCTGGAGTGATGTGGAAGTAAGATTAAGATTAAGTTGATCTGCTATAGGAATGGGTGTGGCAACATGATCACTCACTGCTTCAGCTGGCTTCAGAGAAGAAATGGAGACAAGACCAGCATCCCGTTCTTCAGCAGATGGTTCTGCAGTTGGTGAGTTCCCGTCCTGTTCATCAGCTAGACTAGAACCACTGCTCCAGCTAGGGCCTGAATCCTGCACAGAAAGCTTAGAAGGAGCAGATTCTTTGTTTCCAGTTGCCTGTCCCGCTTTAGCTTCACCATAGGACTTTGGAGTAGAACTAGACCAATCATGGATATCTGAAGCACGAAGAGGAACACCTGAACTCAAAAAAAGCAGCTTTTCAGCAGCCTGAGCTTCAATATCGTCATAGGTGGTTTTTGCGGCAGGACTTGGCCGATCTGGAAGATTCACGTTACCTTTCTGCTCAAATGAATCTTTTGAATTGGTACCTGAAGCAAAACCACTGTCCAAGTTAAATGAAAGTCTGCTACTGGTTGAGGACCCCCAATTCTGTCCAGAAGACTGCCCTACATTACTATGGCTGTTAGATTGGGTATTACGACTGTAAGTATCAGTATTCTGGCATATTGTGCTTCCACAGGAATCCTTAATTACTTGACCTGTGGCAATGCAAAGCTCCACATTTTCATGAACTCTTTCCTTACTTGGAAGAGCAACATGCACCTCGCCATGATGAGATGAAGGGACTGCGCTACACAGTTGGAGTTTGTCTGAATAAGAATTATTTCCATTCATCAAGTCCAAAAATTTTGGAAAAGAAGCCGACATCCCATCCATCCTCATATTCTCAGCATTTCCATTTGAATCTTTACTTGCACGATGGCGAGGTACCTCCATTTCTCTGCATTCTCTCCCTGTTCCAGCAGAACTTCCACACCCAGTACCATTTCTGTCATCAGAGGCAGGTCCAAGCTCATGAGACTGGCTTGAGGTCTTCCCATGAACAGCAGGGGCTTTACGGAACAGCCCATTTAGTGCATCATTTAAAAGTACTGCATCGTCATACTCATTATTTGTCCATATCCTCATATCAAGTGGGAAAATCCCCAATGTACTCCATTTCCTCAATTGTGTCATCGAAAATGATCCTTGCACTTTACCATTAGGGTCACGGTAATGCCACACTTCATCTGTTTCACTGATGTTGGTGGATGCTGAGTTCATTGTTGAGAGACTTGCAATTGAAGTCTCAGATCCAGACCCATCCACAGCCTGATCAATGATGGCTCGATTTCCTAGCTTCTCCGAGATATTAGTTGCATGAGCCTCTGTTTTCTCATTCATTTTGCGCTGAGCCATGATAGATCCCTCTCCTTTAACTGGATAAGTACAACAAAGTTTCCAATTAGATCATGGTGAGTTGAACTTCTAAAAAGTTACTAGTAATATTAACGTCTTACCATTTGCAACATGATGACCATATTTCAGTTCCCCCTGTATCCTACCTGATTCTCTCTCGGGATTTTTAGCTTGAATAAGTTCACAAAGTGTTAGCGATAACTTTTCTTTCAAGTATACCCAATACAACTTGAAGAGATACTCCCAGCTGCCTTTGTCATCAAAATCTACTTGAACCTGAACAGGTTTTTTGTAGATATAGGCATTTAAATCACAGTAAATTGTCAAAATAAAGCCCAACATTTTTCCAATTTGCAGAAATTAAAAAATTGAAACGAGATAGTTAAAATATTTTGCACAAAGAATCAAATTAAAAAAATTATCTTTATGGTAGACTTATTACTCCCTCCGTCTCAATTTATGTTGAGGTGTTTGACTAGGCACAGAGTTAAAGAATAAAAGAAGACTCTAAAACTTGTGGTCTAAAATAAGTCATTCTTTTTGGAACGGACTAAAAAGTAAAAAGTGTCTCATCAATTGGGATGTAGGGAGTAGAAAATATTGCAAGACATGACAAAAAACACAATGAAGAGAGCAAAAAATTAGCAATTTTGAACTGATAACCAGATCCAGTTCCGGAAGACTACAACTGTTCCTTTTCATAAGAGGACACACTAATCGGATGTTGGAAGCAACTTACTCAAAATATATGGAATCAAAATGAGATTATTGACTCTAGAGACATAGTAATATGGAGAAGACAAAATTGTTCCAAGCACCGACAAAACCAGAAGCACCCCTTCTTTAAGGCTAACAAGTAAGATTAAAAATCTGTCAATACCATGGTGCATGTGATATACCTTTTCATTGTTCCCTTGGTCTTTATTCTCAATCAGCATGATAGTTCTCATGCACATTGAGCAAAAGCCTTTTTTCCCTCGGACATGGAAGTAATCAGCATTTTTAGTACATCCCTTGCACAATGAATATGTACAAGTATAGCACATATAGTGAGAAGCCTTTTGACACACACTACAAATATGCCAACCTGACAACCGAAATAATTTTGCGATGTTATAACAGAATAGAAAAAATGAAATAGGTACTTTAACGCAACTACAAAAATCTTCAAGACATATAGCTCATGAATCCTTTTTTAACAAAAAATTAAAAACTTACAGTCCATGATTCTTGTTAGACAATGTTGGAAAGGAACAAAGAATTGATCTCATGAGACAGACTGGCTATGTTGGCTATGTTGTATGGGACAGAGTGTTAGTTGGTCAAGAATTCACAAGTTCAAAAGATGGAAGTAGCAAAACTGAGGATGTTGAGGTGGATGTGTGGCATACTAGGAGAGATAAGATTAGGAATGAAGAAATCTGGGACAAGGTAGGAGACAAGGAGTGGCCTCCATAGTGGAAAAGATGAGGAAAGTGAGGCTGAAATGGTTTAGGCATGTGAAGAGTTGAAGTGTAGATGCCCTAGTGAGGAGGCGCGAGAGATTGGCAATGGTGGGCATCAAGAGAGGTAGAGACAAACTGAAGAAGTATTGGTGGGAGGTGATTAGACAGGACAAAATGCATCTTGGGTTTACTGAGAACGTGACCTTAGATAGGAGGGTTTAAAGTCGCAGATTAGAGTAGAAGGTTAGTTGGTAGTTGACCATTTTCTGACTTTTCCGCAAGATAGGCTTAGTGGTTTGTGGTCATACTTAGACCTTCTCTTTTACTTGTGGTTTTAGCGTTATTCTTGTAGTTTCTTGTTCTTCAATTTCGGTTATCACTTGTGTTTTTCGAGTTTCAATTATCGCATTATTTCATTGTCATTGTTGTTCTCTACTCTATATGTAGTGTACTACTCTTCATTTCACATTATTTCATTGGTGTTACTGCTCTCATTTATGTATTCGCTTTTTCAAACTGTTTGAGAATGCTTTATTTAAAGTCAAGGGACTATTGAATACAACATCTCCATCTTTACGATGTAGGGAGAAGGTCTACGTACACTCTACCTCCCCAGACCCCACTTGTGCAATTACATTGGGTATGTTGTCGTTGTTGTATCTTGAGTTCAATAAATTCCTAACCTTGAATGAGAAGACAGATTAGAATGCAATAGCCTAATAAATGCCAAACTAATGAACAATTCAAAAATGTAGTTGTCGAAAAAGTTAAGAGAAAAATCCTATCAACAATAATAGATGCATCTCAATCCTAAACAAGTTGGAGTCCATTGTATGAAGACTCCAAGTCTATTTTCCTCTATTGTTGGTGAAAATCCCACAACAAGAACTATAATTCAATCCCAAACTAGTAGGGACTATTAGAATTATTTACTAAATGTGGACTTACCATTAACTTATTATTTCGTATACCAAACAGGCCAAGTGTTAATGGTTGGTGGACAAGACATGGAACATATATTTATGCGGATTTCATGATGGGCTTGTATCATTTCATGTACTAGGCGTGGGCCGAAGATACTGTAGGCATGTTAGAGACCAGTGAGCCTGTATTTGGGAGGCCCACTAGGTTAAGCTTCTAAGCCTATATATATGGCGCTAGGTCCTCTCTCCTTGCTTAACCTAAAACATTTCCAAATAGTTGTTTGCCGTCATAAACTAAAGTTAAGGAAGACTCGGCCTAGTTTATCTCCAGTTGCACGTTACTAAGGTGTACAGAGGTAACCACTCTTTTTGTGAATTTCATTATTTTATAGGTGTTCTTCATATATGTGATTGTTATCGTAGTGTTTCTCGATTAAATCAGTTGTGTGTTGCTATGGCGTACAAAGGTACTAACTCTTTTTGCGATTTTACTGTTTTTTGTAGGTGTTCTTCATATATGTGATTGTTATCATTGTTTTTCTCGATTAACGTACCCAGGTACACACTCTTTTTATGCAAATTTCATTATTTTATAGGTGTTCTTCATATATGTGATTGTTATCGTTGTGTTTCTCAATTAATTTAATACTTGATATCCGCACAAATTACATAGGTCTAGAACCCTATTAATTGTTCATGAGCTGAATAGGTTAAAATATTACTATTACCATAAACTCGATCGCGTTTGAGATTGCATCCTAAAACAGAGATAGGGTTGCAGCGGTCGGTTCTGTTTTACTTGCACTGTGTATGCAGATGTTACTTTATTAAAATGACATTCAATGAATCAAAGAAGGTTTATTTCGGTTTTGAAATTCTTAAGTTCTTGGCTATAATCGTATGCTGTGCTTTAGTGGATCCTTAATTGATTTAGTGGATTCTTAAGTACATTCCACTCTACTGATAAAAACTCCCGTCAATAAACTAAAACTACAAGAACAGAAAAAAATCTAGCAACCAACAATAGAAAGTGAATAGATTCTTTTGAGTTCCTGAAGAAGGGGAAACATACCACAGAACCATTTAGCATTTGAGCTGAAAAATTCCTCATCCCGCTTAATACAAGCTGGATGGTATGCCTTCGGACAACCCCTAACCATTCAGAACACAATTTGGAACAAATTAGGAAATCTGTATCAATTATCAACATTTAGCAGAAAGTACAGTAAACTAGCATCCAAAAATTAGAACATCAATCAACGTGTGTCTCAATCAAACCTATTCGTGAATCCTCTACACCAATTTTGCTCAATTTAGTACTTCCCTTCAAGTACAAAAGCTTTCACAATGGAAATGAAGGCAAACATTAGCCAAAAGTGCAGTAAACTAGCATCCAGAAACTGGAAAATCAATCAACTGTCCCTCAACCCAACCTATTCGCAAATCCTCTACACCAATTTTGCTCAACTTAGTACTTCCCTTCCTATACAAAAGCTTTCACAATGGAAATGAAGGCACAATAGTTACTGAGATTAGCAAAAAGTGCAATAAACTAGCATCCAGAAACCTAAATCCAAACTAATTACGAATCCTCTACACCATTACTATCCTTCAAATACAAAACCTTTCACAATGTAAAACCAACTTATACAAAAACACACAATTATTAACTCAAACTTACCTTCGATCGCATAGTACGAGAGAACCACCATCAAAACATATAAAACAAACATCTTCATCCTCATCTTCCTCCACCACCACTCTCTGTATCTTCGGCGGCGGCGGTGGCTTCCCCGCTTGTCCACGTGGCGGCCGACCTCTCTTCCTCTTCTCTCCTCCGCCTACGCCGCCGATCATGTTTCCAACCGAACTCACAGTACTTCCTCCTCCAGCTACAACAACAGCAACATCTCCGGTGACTCCGACTCCCACTCCAGCTACCGGAGCTACGATCGGATGAGATTCGTCCATATCGTAGAAACTATTTTTTTCTCTTTTGGAGTTATCAAACCCTACACGGAACGTGAAGTGTCAGATTATAGGAACAAATATCAATCAAATTTCGTCATTATTGACTGTTTAAAATCTTCAAAATCTCTACCCACAAAAAAGGGTGACTTTTAACTCTCTTTTTAGTGTTCAACAGTCGGTAAATTTTTTTGTGTACCAAAACCGACAAAACCCAAAACACATGTGATTAGTTTACCACTTCCATCTTGAAAATTTGAGTTTTTGAAGTTACGTGTATAAGTATATTTTCTTCATAAATTTATATTTAGTCTAATAAGATATCTTTGGGAATTTGTATACGTCAAACTAAGTTAAAGTTTGATCAGATATTTTGAATTAGATTTTAAAAGTATTTTAAAATCTAATTCAACAATTTGATCAAACATTAGCTTAATTTTGATTCTAATTTATTTCGAAATTGTAGTCACTCGATGAATTCATTCCAAATAGAAGATGGGATAAAATAAGAGTGAAATTCTCAAAAACTAATCTAATAAGTAATTTTTGGGAATTTGATTTTTTTTTTCAAAGAATACACCAACTAAATTAAAGTTTGATCAGATATTTTGAATTAGATTTTAATAGTCTTTTAAAATCTAATTTATAAATTTGGTCAAACATTAGCTTAATTTGCTGCTAATTTATTCTGAATTATAGTCACTAGAAGAATTCATTCCAAATACGATGCGGGATAAAATAATCACAAGTTATGTGTACACATATATTTTATTTGTGAAAAAATTAAAATTTTGTGAGTGAAAATTCTCAAAAACTAATTTAATAAGTTATTTTTGAAAATTTGAATTTTTTTCAAAGAATACACCAAAAAAGTTAAAGTTTGATCATATAATTTGAATAAGATTTTATTTAGTATCTAATTCAGAAATTTGGTCAAACATTAGCTTAATTTTGGAGCTAATTTATTTCAAAATTATAGTCACTCAACAATTCATTCCAAACAAGAGGTGGGATAAAATTATCACAAGTTATATGTACACATATATTTTATTTGTGAAAAAATTAATTTGGAAATTTGAATTTTTTAAAAAGAATACACAAAAAAGTTAAAGTTTGATCATATATTTAGAACTAGATTTTAAAAGTCTTTTAAATTCTAATTCAGAAATTTGGTCAAACATTTACTTAATTTGGTGCTGAATTATTCTGAAATTATAGTCACTCCATGAATTCATTTCAAATAGAAGGTGGCATAAAATAATCACAAATTATGTGTCTACATATATTTTATTCGTAAAAAAATAAAATCTTGTGAGTGAAAGTCTTTAGAAACTAGTCAAGGTTATTTTTTGGAATTTGAAATTTTAAAGAATGCACGAAATTGAGCTAGTATTTTACCATACATTTTGAATTATATTTTAAATTTTTTATCATAAAATTTTAAAATCTAACCCAAAATATATGATCAAACGCTAGCTTTTGGTGCTAAATTATCCCAAAACTATAGTCACTCAACGAATTCATTCCATATGGGAAGTGAGATAAAATAATATCTAGTAATGTGTACACATATATTTTATTCATGGAAAACTTATAATTTTGTGAGTGAAAGTCCTCAAAAACCAGTCTCATAAGTCATTTTCGAAAAATTGAAATTTTTAAGAATGCATCAAACTAAGCTAGTGGTTGACCATATATTTTGGATCAAAATTTGGAAATGTATCTTCAAATTTGAAGAAACATTTTCAAATTTTGATTCAAAATGTATGATTGCCAAATTATCTCAAAATTATGGTCACTAGACTAATTTATCCATCTCAAAAATTTGAGTTTCTGAAGTTACATGTATACGTATTAAAATTTTTGAAAAAGTTTATAAGTGAAAGCTAGTGGTTGACCATATATTCTGGATCAAAATTTGGAAATATATCTTCAAATTTGAAGAAATATTTTCAAATTTTGATTCAAAATGTAGGATCAAACACTAGCTTAATTTTGTGCCAAATTATCTCAAAATTATGGTCACTAGAATAATTTGGGAATTTAAATATACCGAACTAAGTTACTTTTGGGAATTAGTATACACCGAACTAAGTTAAATTGTGATCATATATTTTGAATTAGATTTTAAAAGTCTTTTAAAATCTAATTCAGAAATTTGGTCAAACATTAGCTAAATTTGGTGTTAAGTTATTCTGAAATTATAGTCACTCGACGATTTCATTTCAAACAGGAGGTAGGATAAAATAATCACAAGTTATGTGTATACGTGTGAAAACGTTAAAATTTTGTGAGTGAAAGTTCTCAAAAACTAATCTAATAAGTTATTTTTGGGAATCTGAATACACCAAACTAAGTTAAAGTTTGATCATATATTTTGAATTAGATTTTAAAAGTCTTTTAAAATCTAATTTAGAAATTTGGTCAAACATTAGCTTAATTTTGGTGCTAATTTATTCCGAAATTATAGTCACTCGACGAATTCATTTCAAACACGAGGTGGGATAAAATAATCACAAGTTATGTGTACACATATATTTTATTCGTGAAAAAATTAAAATTTTGTGAGTGAAAGTTCTCCAAAAAGACAAAAACTAATCTCATAAGTTATTTTAAGGAATTTAATTTTTTTTAAAGAATGCACCAAACTAATATATATGTTGAAGATAAATTTTTAAAATTTAATTCAAAATGTTTGATCAAGAGTTAGCTTTTGGTGTTAAATTATTTCAGAATTATAGTCACTTCACGAATTCGTTCCATATGAGAAGTGAGATAAAATAATCTCAAGTTGTGTGGACACATATATTTCAATCTTGCAGAACTTCTAATTTTTGAGTGAAAAGTCCTCAAAAACTAGTCTAATAAGTTGTTTTTGGAAATTTGAAAATTTCAAAGAATGCATCTAACTAAGTTAGCATTTGACCATATATTTTGAATTAGATTTTGACCAGTTGATCAAATATTCAAAATTTGATTTGAAATATATTGTTAAATGCTAGCTTCATTTGGTGCTAAATTATCCCAAAATTATAATCACTTGACTAATTCATTTCATATAGAAGATTAGATAAAATAATCATAAGTTGTGTGTACACATATTTTTTATCCGTAAAAAGGATAAAATCTTGTGAGTGAAAGTCTTCAAAAATTAGCCAGGGTTATTTTTTGGAATTGAAATTTTTAAAGAACGCACGAAATTGAGCTAGTATTTGACCATATGTTTTGAATTATATTTTTAAATTTTGATCATAAAATTTAAAATCTAATCCAAAACATTTGGTCAAACGCTAGCTTTTGGTGCAAAATTATCCCTAAATTATAGTTACTCGACGAATTCATTTCATATAGGATGTGGGATAAAATAATCTCAAATTGTGTATACACGTATATTTTATTTGTGAAAAACTTATAATTTTGTGAGCGAAAGTCCTCAAAAACTAGTCTAATAAGTCATTTTTGGAAATTTGAAAATTTCAAAGAATGCATCAAACTAAGTTAGCATTTGACAATATATTTTGAATTAGATTTTGAAAATCTATCTTCAAATTTGAAGATAAATTTTCAAATTCTGATTCAAAATGTATGATCAAACACTAGCCTAATTTGGTGTCAAGTTATCTCAAAATTATGGTCACTAGACTAATTTATCCATCTCAAAAATTTGAGTTTCTGAAGTTACGTGAATACGTATTGAAATTTACAAAAATTTATAAGTGAAAGTTCTCAAAAATTGATCTAATAAGTTACTTTTGGGAATTTGAATACAGTGAACTAAGTTAAAGTTTGATCATATATTTTGAATTAGATTTTAAAAGTCTTTTAAAATCTAATTTAGAAATTTGGTCAAACATTAGCTAAATTTGGTGTTAAGTTATTCTGAAATTATAGTCACTCGACGATTTCATTTCAAACAGGAGGTAGGATAAAATAATCACAAGTTATGTGTATACATGTGAAAAAGTTAAAATTTTGTGAGTGAAAGTTCTCAAAAACTAATCTAATAAGTTATTTTTGGGAATCTGAATACACCAAACTAAGTTAAAGTTTGATCATATATTTTGAATTAGATTTTAAAAGTCTTTTAAAATCTAATTTAGAAATTTGGTCAAACATTAGCTTAATTTGGTGCTAATTTATTCTGAAATTTTAGTCGCTCGATGAATTCGTTTCAAACATAAGGTGAGATAAAATAATCACAAGTTGTATGTACACATATATTTTATTCGTGAAAAAATTAAAATTTTGTGAGTGAAAGTTCTCCAAAAAGACAAAAACTAATCTCATAAGTTATTTTGGGGAATTTAATTTTTTTTAAAGAATGAACCAAACTAAGCTAGCTTTTGGTAATATATATATATTGAAGATAAATTTTTAAAATTTAATTCAAAATGTTTGATCAAGAGTTAGCTTTTGGTGCTAAATTATTTCAGAATTATAGTCACTTGACGAATTCGTTCCATATGAGAAGTGAGATAAAATAATCATAAAATTTAAAATCTAATCCAAAACATTTGGTCAAACGCTAGCTTTTGGTGCAAATTATCCCTAAATTATAGCCACTCGATGAATTCATTTCATATAGAATGTGGTATAAAATAATCTCAAATTGTGTGTACACATATATTTTATTCGTGAAAAACTTATAATTTTGTGAGTGAGAGTCTTCAAAAACTAGTCTAATAAGTCATTTTGGAAATTTGAAATTTTCAAAGTATGCATCAATATAATCTAAGTTAGCATTTGACCATATATTTTTGAATTAGATTTTGAAAATCTATCTTCAAATTTGAAGATAAATTTTCAAATTCTGATTCAAAATGTATGATCAAACACTAGCCTAATTTGGTGTCAAGTTATCTCAAAATTATGGTCACTAGACTAATTTATCGTATATGGGAGATGAGATAAAATCAAGTTGTATGTATGTATATATTTTATTCGCGAAAAATGAAAATATTTTGAGTGAAAGTCCTCAAAAACTAGTTTAAGTCATTTTGAGAATTTGAAATTTTGTAAAGAATACACCAATACTAAGCTAGCGTTTGACCATATATTTTGAATTAGATTCTGAAAATTTGATCCAATAAATATGGTCGAACTCTAGCTTAGTTTGGTGCTAAACTATTCTGAAAT